AGCAAAGCCCGCGAGGACAGGCATCTGCCAAGACCCACAGCAGCCCTCCAGCACCCTGGCATGGCACTCTGGCTTTGTTGGGGGGATTTTCCCAGCTGAGACACCCCGAGGCCGGGGGGGAATCCAACACCTCAAGCCACCCTCCCAAAGTGCAAAGAAACACCTTGCTTGCCCTTCCCCAGGGCAGGGAAATCACGGTGGTGTTTGCTGGAGCAGGGCTCAGCCGTCCCACAGCAGGCGTTGAGCCCACGTGGGCTGGAGCCGTCCCGGCTGCGGAAGAGTTAAGCCCCACTGCTCGCCCGGGTCTCAGGGGCCTCCCACTTGCCCGGAGTGCAGTATGAATAGCTGCGCTCCCCTCCACTCCCAGCCACTCGCTTCCCTCCCTGCCTTCCCTCTTGTTCAGAGCCCCGGCATCCTCTCCGGCATCCTCTGGCAGTGCCGGCACCAGAGCCCCAGCATCCTCCGGCAACGCCAATGCTGAGCACAGAAAGTTTCACGGGGGCGAGAGCCCTGGGCGAGGAATCGCTGCAAATGTGGGACCTCAACAAGCGGCTGGAGGCGTACCTGGCCCGCGTGAAGTTCCTGGAGGAGGAAAATGAGGTGCTGCGAGCCGAAATCCAGAGTGCCAAGGGCAGCCCTGCTGGGGACTCGTGGCGGGCAAAGTACGAGGAGGAGCTGCGAGCCCTGCGGGATGCACTGGATCATGCCTTCAGGGAGAAGTGCACAGCTGAGCTGGCCAGGGACAACCTCTACGAGGAGGTCCAGCAGGTGAAAAGCAGGTGCCAGAAGGAGCAGGCAGCCCGAGAAGAAGCCAAGAAGCAGCTGTCCTTGAGCAGGAAGGAGCTGGAGGAGGAGAGGAGAGCTCAGATCTGGCTGAAGGAGAGAGCTGTGCAGCTGGAGAAGGAGGTGGAAGCCTTGCTGGAGGTGCACGAGGAGGAGAAAGCAGGACTGGACCAGGAGATCGCAAGCTTCTCACAGAGCCTGGAAAGCTTCCGCTGTGCACCAGTGGCTTTCCAGCCGGTGGAGGTGGAGGACTACTCCAAGAGGCTCTCGGAGATCTGGAAAGGGGCAGTGGAGACCTACAAGACGGAGGTGTCACAGCTGGAGGGTTCCCTCTGCCAGGCCAAGGAGAACCTCTGGAAGGCGGTGGAGGACAACCAGCAGAGCCAGCTGCAGCTGCAGCACCTGGAGAAAGACCTGGCAGGGCTCAAAGCACGGAAGGAGATGCTGGAGGAGAGCCTGGCCCGGCAGTGGCAGGAGCAGCGTGGGGAGGCAGAGAAGTTCCAGGTGGGCAAAAGCAGTGGGAAGGCACCTGGGGAGAGGGAGAGCAGGGTGCTGTGGGTGCCTGGGGGGTGCCCAGGGCACCCACACCCTGCAAAGGGACGGGGGAGATGGATAGGAGGAGGTAAGATGGAGGCAGCAAACCGCAGGGCAGGGATGGACGGTGGCCCTCGATGAGCTGCAGATGGAGAAGAAGCTAGGGAGGGCAGGAGGAAGAGCAGAGCAGCTCTGGGACATCCTTGTCCCCATCACAACAAGGACCCGGCGCCACCCCACTGCAGGGGAGCAGCACCCAGACACTGGGTCCTCCCCCACAACCCTGCCCGGGGCTGCTGCTCCATGTGCCGCTGGGCTCCAGAGCCAGGGTAGCAGGGGAATGGCAGCCCCTGCCCGTTTTTGGGTGCAGGCAGTGGGGGGGGTTGTGGGGAGGATAAACTCTGACCGACTTTGCTGCAGCTGCAACCCAACAGCTGCAAAAGTCATTCAGCAGAGGGAGGTGGCGCAGCAGACAGGGTTGGAAATGCCGGGGATGGCGCGGACACTGCCCAGGGAAGGGTCCCTCTTTGTTCCAGGTCCGGGGACCAGCCACGGGCACCACAGAGCAAAGCGTGCTGTGGCCTTGGCTGCTTGACAAGAAGATGCTTCTTTCCCACGCCGGCGTC